CATTGCAGCACATGACCCACAATGGTACAGCAGGGCACCGATTCCCTAGCTCCATGTGTCAGTTGGTGTGCTTTGCTTGAGCGAACTTGGAAGTCCCAAGCTCTGAAACACAACCAGTGCAGGTCCCATCCTGGCAGCCATCACTGCAGGTTTGCCATGGGACTTCTGCGCCTCTTTGCTGCACAGTGCTAAGGGAAAAAAGATGACTCCTATGGACCATGAGGATATCATGATACTCTTGTATGACTCATATAGAGCTATAGGAGCTGGGCTTGGCTTTTAAGAAAATTAGATCAGATTTTATACCAGTAATGCTATGGGGAGGCTTTTCTCTTCATTAATACTTCTAAACTATTCTGTGTTGCTTGGATGAAAGAAATGGGAAACAATAGGCCAGATTCTGGTATTGGTATTTGGCAGGTGAAAATTCAGGCTCAAATTTTGCTGATTAGGACTTTGATAAATTCCACTGTAGGTGTAGAGGTAATTTGTACTTACACCCAGTTTACCGGAGATCAGGAAATAGCTCTGGAGGTACAAAAGCTGCAGGCCAAATCTAGCAGTCTGCTTCACACTTCGTGGAGTCCATAGTTTTTACTGACTTTGGTGAGGATCCAGGTAAGGCCCTTAGGATTGGACCCATTTTATTTTTCACCTCAGGATGGTCTGTAGGACTCAGCACTAATTGAGTCTCCTACATTTTGCTGTCGTTCCCGTTCTCTGTTCAGAAGCATTGCTCTGTCCCAGCTCCCAAGCATTTTAGCTTTCCAGATGACTAACATAAGGCTATGGAAGTTTCTGTACCTCAGAGTTTCCCACACCATTTCTTAACTATATTCATTCCTGTCACAAAGGAAGTGTGCCTGACTACAAACCACATTAGCAACGGTGCTTGCCTCTGCATTGTGTTCAGTGGGAAACCCTGCTCCCAAAAGGCCATCTGGGCAGCACGGATCAGGAGAGAAGCAATGGGAGCAGTGAGCATCTCTCAAGACTTGGGAAAGCAGCAGCATCTTTAAGTCTTCCTAAAGAGCTAACATCTGGCAGAGGTTCTGGGGGAAGGCTATGGCTAATGCCGTATTTCAAACATGTTAGCCAGATCCAGTATTTTGGGATCCTAATAAGTAAGTTTTCTATGTATGTATGTTTGGAACCATAGTAGAAGGTGTGTAATTCAGAATTCATTATCCCTAGTGTAAAGTCCACTGACTCTGCTAACTTTATAATAGGGATGAATTTTTGTTATCGGTTTTCTTTAGGATTTCCAACCAAAGCAGAAGCAGAGTGTCTATTTTGGGTAATTGAGCATCTAATTTGAGCAACTCTTCCAAGATGGTCAGTAATTGGCTATTTTTTCCCCTCACAGACTGTGAAACCAAAGAGAAAATAAAAAGCTATTTTAAATATATGGTTTTATTTTAGATGCTTTAAAATTCCTGTGTGACACAGAGTGAGGAAGTAGGAACCTCACTGGATTCACCATCTGGGGGAGATTTTGCTACATTCGCCTCACAATAATACATTGAATATCGTAATTTTTATTACCACATACGTTCTGAATATGTGGACCCTCCAGCCTCTATAGTTAAGTGAATTTCTCAAGGCCACAGAGGATTATTCAGCATTCAGCCTGCTCAGTAGCAGGCTTTAGGTCAGTTTGGATCCTAATGAAGAAGAAATTTTGAGCGCTGACCCCTTGATTGTGCCAAGTGCACAACCACTACCGCAGTGCCATCAGGCAAAGTGTTGGCACAACCGTCTCCTACTCCTTGCCATTTGGCCTTGGACCGGCCAAATGTGGGGCAGCGGAGCTGTTCTGGAATCCCTGCTAGGAAAGCTGATACTGCCTTCGCTGGATTATGGTTTTTTTGTAAGGGACCTGAGCTCACATTGCTCTGAAAACAGCACGCAGGTGCTGAACTGAGGGTACAGGCACCAAGGGGCTAGCCACATCCACGCGGCGTGGGTCACGGAGCAGGGTGAGCCTTCGCCTGCTCTCAGACCCGCGCTCCACTGCGTCAGCGGCAGAGTCAAAGGCAGGAAGTCGGAAGGCTGGCTTACAGCCACAATGCCTAACCGTGTCATTACTAAACAGCAGGAGAAAGAAAGCTCCATCGCATCTCAAGCGCACACAGTAAGCAGACATGGAACAGGACTCGATGCTTGGGATGCTGGAAAAAATCAAGTAGGCATTTTTATCCCATACAATTCATTCCTTCAAGCAGGTATATTGAAGTTACTTTCTTGGAGCAAGAAAGGAGATAGAGGGTTTCATTCTCTTTTAACTTGAGCTAAATGTTTTAATAGTGAATTAAGAAAAATTTCTACCAAGACTAAGAGTAAGCTGGTTCAGGCTAGCATGACTGTTCCCATGGAGTTAACTTCATAATCCCCTGGGTGCTGAGTGGAGAAATAAGAGGTTCATGTGTAAAATCCTGCTGTAGAGATCTCAGGTGGAATCAGCAGTGGCAGACGCGTGGGTGGCAATGCATTCGGCCCGGTCAGGGTCGGCTGAGGGGCTGCAGCCCGCTGCCCCAGCACAGGCAGCAACAGCCGCGCCGGGCTCTTGCCTCCCTCCCTCACATCTTCCGAACCACTGGGCAAATCCCAGAAACAGCCAGGGCCCGCGAATGTGACAGAAGAAAGCCAAAGGCAGACCAAGTCACTCAAGTCACCCATCTGCTCTACTACAGTTTTATCAAGGAAAATTAAGTTGTCTCCCCCCAAATAAAAGTCCTATGATGCAGGAAGGCAATCATGCACAGATTCCTGAGAAGTAGGCTTAGTTTCTTGTTGTGTACTGTGGGTAATTGCAGGGAAGGCATCTGACACTTTAAACAGCTTTGGTGGAGTAAAACTGGAGTGCCTGTTTATGTGACTTGTGCTGGAAGGGGAAATTATTGCTGTTCTTATAGCTGCTTATTAGTGAGCTAATCTGGAAAACAAAACTGTCTCTAGCAAAACTGCTAGTGGACCCTGCTGATCACAGGATAGGCACATTTCTTCTTCTCGCACTTGATTAACGAGCGTAAGAAATGAGTTACTACTCAGGAGTTTCTGTTTCAGAAAATCTCCCCAAGAGGGATGCACGGAGCGAAAGATTGGTTTCAGAGGTGGCTTTACATGGGCTCAGAGATAATCCACAAGCTTTGAGGAGAACATGTGAAATGGTGTCACAAAAGCTTTCCCACAACTTGACATAAAAGACTCAGAGCCCAACAGCTGCTGCTCTGTACGAAAAGAAGGGAGCCTATTCAAGAGCAGTACAATAGGGATGGAAAGGCAGATCCTGGAAGAGGTCATTTAAGCCTTACCTGGTCTTATGAGTAATGAGTTGCACAGTGAGAGAGAAATGTGTCCGTGTGTGTGTGTACTCACATTAAACGATATGCCCGACCACACACATATATATTAATATATACATAAACACACATACACGTATATTAATGTAAACACAAACAGTATTACTTACTACCCTTTCTTTTTCAGCAAGAGATCCCCAAACATACGCCCTAACATTACTTGACAGTAGTTTATCTTATTATTATTATTCCTGTATTGAATCTTATAGAGGGAGATACTGACGCTCAGAGAGAAGTGTGTTGAACTGATTAGGTCACATAGCACATTTGGAGTAAATCTGGGACCAGAACGCATGGTTCTAGATGTGGGGCTAATCCTGCCGCCTGCTCACGTCGCCCTTCTTGCGGTGTAACAGGGCAACGTTGCTGTCAGCCTTGCTCCACACAGTCCAGGGTGCACGTCCAAAGGATGCAGAAAACACTCTGCGGCCATTTCCTTCTTCAGCTGTTCTGTGAGGTTAGAGCTCATAAAAGAAAGCATGGGCAGAAGGCAGGATAAACGCAGGCAGATCTGGTTCAAGTTTTCCAACGTCAATCTCTGGCTGTGTGTTTATAGGACACAAATAGCAAGACCGTTAACTCTTCCAGCTGCAGGCACCTATTGAGCAAAGACTGTGCATCTCAGTATGGAAACTGCCCCAGTGGAGAATGAGGAATGAGGAATTCGATTTCTAATAATTGTATGGGCTATGTGAATTTCTTCTGCACTCAATTTTACTTTATGCATAGATTAAATGAAAATAATTAGAGTAAAACATGTTTAGGGAGGAAGCGAGAAAGCATGTGAGACTGAACTGATCCCAAAACACTCCAAGATCCTTCTCCTTGCGGATTTATCTTGCAGGTATTTGAAAACAGAAACATAAGGTGCTTGTGACATGGCTTGAGAGCGTTCTAAAGAGGTGCATAAGATATCAAGGGAAGAGAACAAAGATCAAAACAGAAAATGTTTTCAATAACTGTGTGTACTTACAATTAAATGTATTTATTTGCAGTAAGCCAAACTGGAAAAGCTGTTTTCTGTTTCACATGGGCAAAACTGGTGTCACAGTCACCTGAGGGAGAACAACTGGCTTACTGAGAAAACAAGGTGAGTGCATTTAAAGAAATTCTGCCCTTTATCTCAGAAAGCCAGAAAATGCTCTTGTGTGCATGTGCATTTGTGCATGCTTAATCGTGTGCCTCCCTGCGTCCCCAGAGAGGAATGCAGCCCCACGCAGTAGCCTGCCTGCAGTAGTTTATTTCCCGCCATCGGCAGCTGACCTCCTCCTTCCTCCACGCATGTGAACCCAAGGCTGCGTCTGGAATGCTATTGATCTGCGGCATTAGTCAGCAGCCTTTTCCCATTGAAGGCCAGCTCTTTCCCAGCTTCTGACGCGTAATTCTGATCCCAGCCTTTCACGTACCACACACTCCCCACCTGCTCATCTGGGAGAAGGTCATTATCCCCAGGCTATTCACTGGCAATGGAGCATGCAAGAATAGATGCTTCTCCTATTGTGCCGCCTATCTCCCCGATTGGCTGTGGAGTGTGGGAAACTCCACCAAGCCGGAGACCCACAGACTCTCAGTGAGGCTGCACAGTATAAATATCGGGCAGAGGCAGCTTCCAGCAGCACGCTTCTCCTGGACTTCCACTCTGAGACCTTCCTTCCCTTCTCAGGACAGATGGCTCCCAGCACTGTTTTCATGGAGCCTGACAACCTGCTGACACCAAAGGAGAAAAACAAAGTAAGTCCAGGCACAGCAAGGCAGCTTTGAGCCATGCTCTCAGCTGTTCTCATAGCAGTTTACACCAGCTGAGAAACTGGTCCACATTGTTTAGGAACAGTGATGGGCAACAAACAGCCCTGTGAAATGGCAGAGAGAAGATCCTTCTAATAACAGGTCTCTTTTCCTTTGCTTTTTACAGCTGAGGAAGCCGGTGGTGGAGAAAATGCGCCGTGACCGGATTAACAGCAGCATCGAGCAGCTGAAACTGCTCCTGGAGAAGGAGTTTCAGAGACACCAGCCCAACTCCAAGCTGGAGAAAGCCGACATCCTGGAGATGACCGTCAGCTACCTGAAACAGCAGAGCCAGCTGCAGATGAAGAGTGAGTATTGAAGTTTGTTTCAGTCTCTAGCTTACTGCAAATCTGTGACAGTTCCATGAATCTCTAGCCATGAACAATTGCTCTAAACTATTCTTTCCTCCCCCTCCCTCTTCTCTTCCCTTCTCTAGCTGCAGGATCCTTCCATAAAAGCTCTCAGTTTGACTTCAGAGAGGGCTATTCCAGGTGTTTGCAAGAAGCTTTCCATTTCCTCTCTCTTCATAAAGTCCGAACTGAAACACAGACCAAACTTTTAAGCCACTTCCAGAAGAGCCAGTCAGCTGCTACCGAGGTCGCCTTCTCCCCTGGGAACCCCAGCACCCTGAAGCCAGCATCTCCGAAAGATGCCAGTACTCTCTGGAGGCCCTGGTAGTCACGGGACTTTGTGGACCTTTGCCTTTTACAGTCCAGAGGAAGGATCTGACTGCATCCGATAGTCCAGCTCTGATCCTCTCTTCTGTAGGGAATTTTATTTCCCTGTGTACTTTATTTATGTGTGAAAAGAATGGCATACTTTTGACTTTTATGGGATCATTTGGCAAAAGTTCAGGCATTCTGTTGAGTGGTGTTGAAGCTGTGTAGACGCTGGTGATAACAGCACGCAGCATGCTGCCCAGTCAGGGGGCGAATGTCTTCAAAATGAAGGAGGGTATTTTTGTAAATGTTACAGTTGTGACGGATAAGAATTGCTGTAGGAGAGATTTCTCTAATATTGCTTGTAAGAGCCATCAGCTTTGCTCTGGCTTGACTAGTGATGCTTGTTCGCTCAGTCACTCCAGAGGATAAATTTACTACCCTTTGGTTCATGCACACTTGATTAAAATCGATTTCCCTCTGTTTGCTTATAACTTGTACAGCATCAAAGATGGTTTCTGTTTTATTTTGGATTTTTCCCCAGTGACCCTTCCATAGTCCTAGTATATAAAGTTTGACAGATGAACAGAAGCTACGAAACTATGTGGAATATTTCTACTATTTTGCTGCTTTTTTCAATTTAGAAAAAGAGTATGTTACTGCTTTATGTTAAAGAAAAGGTAGTAGGTGAAAGGCTTAATTGGTCAATGTTATACATTTTGGGTGTAAGCTATGCTTTTTCTAGCATTTTCATTATAATAATGATTTTGTCTGTATTAAGTGGTTTAATTCATGGTGGATAGTGTTTCTCCCACTACTGGGACAGCCCTATGGCTTACCTGCATACTGTGTATGCGTCTCTGTGTCTGTAGAGAGCAATAAAATGCATTTGTGTGCAACTTCTGTCTGGGTCCTCTCCCTCTGAGGGATACGCAGCCACTTGCGCCCCTGAAGAAGACTAATACGTTAGTCTTCTAAAGAAGTGGGATTTTTTGTAAAGCGAAAGGGGCTCATACTCTCATCTACTCTATATATTCTCATGACTCCCATCACATGAGTACCTTACACGCTTAACCCCAAGACGTAAGCAAGTGCTACTGTCACAGAGATTCTCTCAGCTGAATCATATTGAGCATTTCCTTAGTCACTGCCCCTCCTATCCACACAAAACCTTCTCACCTGTGTAATAAAGCCTTAAACCTGGCCATCGGGTCTCCCTACAGGCAGTGGCCGGAATCTGAGTCCTCCTTTCATGTGATTTTTTTCACCTGATATGGAGAGGAAACAGACTCAGTCACGCAGCGCTGTATCCTCTAATGCCTTCCCACGATTTCTTCTCTGAGAGCTCAGAGGGGCAAATAAACTGTCCCACAAAGCCTCGGCAAAGAGCTGTACTGCAGCACGGAGCAGTGGTGGGGGAGCCGTGGAGGTCCTGCAGATGGGTCGGGTGAGTCCTACCCCGCTAGGGAGACACAAACCTGGGTAAGGCTTTTTGTTGCTGTTGCGCCTATCCGAGTTAGGGCTCCCTGAGCATCCCTTGTCGGAGTTTGTGGGAGGTGTGCCTGAGCCAGCAGTAAGTTATATCCCTTGGATGTGTTCCCGGAGCGGGGAAATTACCTACAGCTCAGTGCAAATTCCCTTCCTATGACAATAAACTAATCATGATAATAAACTAAGTTTGTGCAAGCACAAATGTAGGTCAAAAACATTAACTTTTGCTAAAAGAAATGTGATAGTTCTGCAATTTACATACAAAGTTACGGAATATTTTGGCTAGAAATACACAATCTGGTTATGTTAGCCAGAAATCACACATTGCTTGCTTATGCAGGTTTTCATTTGTCTTTTGTTATGACAAGGAATGATTTGTTCTGCCATGTTTTATCACTGATTTGTCATATATATGCTTTTTATTGCAATAGGGAATTTGGGGTCTGTGGTAGGAGGTACCATTAAGTGTTAAAGTCCCTATACGCTCTTTTACTCTGGAGTTCTTGGCACTAATTTTGTTAAGCGATAGGCATTTGGGGATTTGAGATGTTACTATAATGTAAATAGTAACAGTAATAATGACATGATGTTGCTGCTGTTATCCAGCAAGTGAGTTGTCTTCCGATATAGAGAACTTGCTATATAAACTTCTATAATTATGCAAAACGATTGTCGGAGTATTTAGAACACTAAAAAGTCCTTACTGCAAAACATTCTTTAGATATATACAATTTTTTAATCTTGCAGTATGAATATAATTTTACGAAGCTAAAGACCTTGCAAACTTTATAAATGATATTTTAACTTTTTTTTTTAGTTTTAGCCACCAGGGGTCACAGTTACTGTAAAAACACTTTCCCCTTGGATGAATAAAGAAGTCAGTTCAAGCAGAATTTTAGGGTTTTTTAAGTATATGCTTCATGTGATTTTGTTTGCTTCATTTTAATGCTTTCATTTAAATCAGATGTCAGTCAGTGCTGGAGACTTTATAAAATCTTTTCCACCTCCCAGTTTCTGTGTATGACATTGTAATTGTTTGTGTGTGGACAGATGAATAGGGTAACTTGATGAAACATAAGAGTGATGTAGAGTTTTTTTCCAGTGGTACTGGAGTAGAATTCTTTTAAAATTTAGTTGTCTAATCTGATGCATAAGCTACTTTCTATCACTTCTCTCACTAGTACTTGAACTGTATCTGTAGAGGATAATTTAAGCAATTCCTTGATGCTGTAAAACTTAGGACTCTGCAAGTCTGTTGCTTCCATTTACACTTAAAGGTTTTGCCCGCACAAAATGTTCCTCAACATTTCCATGCTAGAGTCCCTTTAAAAGACACCGCTGATGTATTACTGCTGCACACTCATGTATTCTTTTATTGATGCTTCCTATAATCAAAGTTAGAAGGAACAAAGAGTTTTCTCTGTCTGATGCCTTCAGTATCACTTAAATTGGAGTAATTTCATTTCACTATATGTACTAGGGAATATTACTTTTTATTCTGGCCACGTGGTCCAGGTGGCTTATACGGGTCTGTCATGACATTGCAGCAGAAAAAAAGCACTGGGAAAAAACCACCAAATCAAATAGGGAACGAAGCATTAAAAATGTGCAGGATGACTGGACCATAGACTATTATGCTACTGGAAACACACTTATAATGGTGGTTTGTTCGTTGTTGGGTTGTTTTTTTTTTTTTTTAACGGGGGTAGAATTTGACATTGTCTGTGTTAATGGAAGTTCAGCATTATCCACAGCACTTTTGTAGCTGGTGGATCCTGTTTTGAAAGATGAATGTACAGTCTTCACGTGCTAGTCGGTCCTCTCAAAATACAGATAAGCTGCATGCAACCTGCTTGCATCAGAACCCTGATGCGGAAGACTGTTGTTCTTTCTTAAGGCAGTTAAGGTCTTCAGCAAAATCTTCAGCCCCAGGCATTAGACATCTGCATGCAAATCTAAGTGTGTAACAGTGTGACAGTGATAGAACCGATTTCCATTCTCCAGCCAGAAAAAAGCCCTCCACGAGTCACCCGCCTGCATGCTGAGAGATACCTGAGTCATAGAAATCTTACAACACTCTTCGGGTAGAGAGCACCCTGGAAATGTTCTGTAGGTGCTGTCCCAAAGCAACCGTGATTATACCACATAATCCGTTGTTAGGTGGACACTGAACTGAGGTGGATTCAGGATTCCTGATCTGGAATCACAGCTTTGGGCTGGAACCAGCCAGAAGGTTCAGACAGGTGCAGGTGGAACAGTGGCTCTGGCCCCTGCCAGCTTGGTGACAATAGGAGATGCATAAACAGATGTTCATAAACAGATTTCCTGTTACTTAGTCTTGAACCAATCTCTTCTTATTCCCTGCCCAAGATCTAGGGTTACTTTTTCCCCCTTTCCCTTTTCTCCTAACAGCGATGGCTCAGATTTTAGCCTTGACCAGGGCTCTGCCCTCCACACCTCGCAATGCCCTTGCTGTGTGGAAGCTCCTGGGCAAGGGCACGTACGTGGATCTTCCCAAACCTGACACTGGAATCTCTAGTTACAGGACTGCTGTTGTCTTACCTCATAAATTGAAAACTCCTGTCACAGGATCTACTGACTACGGTGTCATGTGAACTGCATAGCGTGGTTCAAATAAAAAAATTGCTCAATATTTTGGCCAATTGTATGAGGAAGCAGCATGTCCGATGGGCAGTAGGAATTAAGACGTCAGCAAAAATTAAGTAGGCTTGTAGTACTGTGCAGTTGACCTGGGCAAGGAGGAAGTAGAGAACTGCAGTAACAACTTGCAAGAGTTGGCGATTCAGATGAAAAAAACCACAATAGCAGGAAAAACATAACCAATTTGGAACTGATCGTCTGGTCGCTCCAGGATGCCACAGACCTTATTTGTCTCTGGTGTGTCTAATAGAGGTATCTTCTATGTCTCAGTCTTGCATTGCCTGCTTGGGGAAATTGTAGTGCACAATGCTATGCTGGTGCTGCTATCAAAACTGGAGCAAAAAACCCACTGAGACTGATTGGCAATTTCAACCAAACCTGAAAGACAGTTGGAGGTCTCGGGGATATTATGTTGACATGAGTTTGGGGAAAACAGGCAATGAGGTAGAGAGGGAGATTCAAATTTGCTAGTCCCTTAAGGGAAAGACAGCAACAGGAACTCACCTTTATTGCGGTATACTGAAGAATTCAGAGACGAGAGAAACATTGCAAGTCTTTCTACCACAAGACAAGCTTTGATCAGCGCTTGTACCCCATCAGGCACAAAATATTTTGAGTGTGAGACATAAAGCTATGGGAAACTTGCCCTTGTAAGTTCCACTGCTCACAAGCATGTTTGATCACAATAGGAAATGTATCTCTTTTCATTCTCAAACAGGCTGCATTAAGTTTATTGATTTTTTTTTTTTTTTCCCCTTCATTCCCCCCAGGAGAGCACAGCTGTTATATTTCAGTCCAAAAAAGCAAATGGACTGATAGAATTATAACTAGTTAAAATAACCTGAAAACATGAGAAGACTGCTGCTATCTTAACTTCCAGGCTCCCTATGTCTTCTACCAATGTCAACAAAACTAAGGAATCAGACTGGTGGTTTTTAACCTTCTGAGAAGTGATCGAGGGCACACAGCTCTGGAATACCTTTGAACATTATCCGCATACACGGCACCTGCAAAGGTAAATCCTGGACTAAGGATGCTGGGGTGTGTGCATGTGTGAAGGAGGGCGAGAAGGTCTTTGCCCTCCTAAGAGGCTTCTCTCGGGACCTATTTTTTCTTACATTCTGTAAATCAGTATCAAATCACTTGAAGACAATAGCTACTATCCTTCAGCCGACCAGAGCAGTGTTTCTGTACCTTAACACTCAGGAAAGTCCTTCTGCTTATGCAGATCCAGGCACAACCAATCTGTGGTTGCTGGAGTCTGATGAAAGCTGGTATGAATCTACACCAGGCTCAGGTTTTTTGTATTCTGAAAAAAATTCTGAAAAAAACCCAACAACTTCATCCGCAGTTAGGGAGACAAGTCAGGAATGGCCTGATTACAGGAATACTGCTGAGCTAAATATGTCCTTCCCACCCAGCCATGAACTGCACTTTAAGTAGGACAGCCCCTCGGTTTTCCAGCTGCTGTTAGATCACAGTGGTAGACAGCAGTACTGATTTCTTGCCTAAAAAAGTTGGTGCTATATTAGTGCTGAATGCTGACCACGGCCTGAGAGGTTTCTAACAGCAAAAATCCTGTTGCAAATGTGATAATGCCAATGAATTTTGACTTGTCAAACCCCTCCCAGGGCAAGGCGAGCCAAGCTAGACCTTCCTGTCACATGAGCAGCCGCTGTCCTTTGCAAAGAAGCGTGATCCACCGTGTCAAGTGAAACCTGAAGCAGCGGAAAAGAAGTGGTGATGT